ATAATTCGTCAAGCCCAATTAACAGATTACCTCCTCTATTGTCATCTAACATTATTCCCAATGCAGTCCCCTCACTATCACCTCTCCACTGTCTCCTGCCCCAGGTCATAAACCATCTCTTCTTCTACTGAATTCCCAAAGCATTTCCTTTCCCCCCCCCAAATATTTTCTGCCTTATACTGTAGTTATGTTTTGTACATGCCTGTTTTCCTAAAACTGCTATAAGTACTGAAAGGACAAGGGTTGAAATCTTGCTCATCTTTATAACCTATGAAGTCTCATAATATTTAAATTCCATTGCTAAATTATACTAGTAATGAACTACATGGCCTTGAGCATGTCATTTAACCTGTTTGAGTCAATTTGTTCATAAATTAAAACATTCTAATTCAACAGAATTAATTTGAGATAGATTAAATTACATATTTCTGGAACTACACACGAAGATTTAAAAGCACATACCAAAGGAAAGATTTCTGCATGACCTCTACAAAACTTAAAATGATAGCTGCACTAGCTGTTTCCACTGATAAATTCTTGCAATTGTTTTTTCTGACTCACTTGGATTACTATATAGTAGTCTGTACCCTCTGTGGCTATCACTGCTACATCAGGTATCAATGACATAATCCACTCAACTTTTACTTAGTGTAGCATTACTGTGTGCTAGCAGGGAATCACTCCTTCAATCACTTATTCCATAAATATTTATTAAGTATCTATTAACCAGGCATTTTCCCAGGTGAAGGGTCCTCACATTTAGTGAATAGAAGAGGGAAACATCTAGCATAACTAAGAAAGATTTTTTTCAATTTTAACTATTCTATACAATCTCTCTCTCTCTCTCTCGGTTTAGACCACCTATGTTATGCTAAGACTCAAAGCAAACTTTCCCATGGTTAATGTTTCCTAAAGTAAAAATACAAAAAGCCTTTAAAAATTTATTCAGATAATGTAGGGGAGTGAGTGCAAAGTGCTTCCACTCAATCCTCCTAAAGATAATACACTGGAAACATTTTGGTGGGTGTGAATCACTCAAACAAGCATTCTTAACTCAAAAATAGAAACTTGCCTTATTTGTTCCAGATGTTATACAGCTGCAGGGAAGTTAAAGCCAGTGGTCCTGTTTTGAATGCAACCAAACTCTTATTGCATTTGGAATTTCTTAACCAATGAACACACATTATTTGTTCTAAGACCTGCACAATTTTCTTTTTTTCCACTGTTACCATTCACAAACAACTATGTTTCCTGGGAACTACACTTCAGAATTAATGAGTCTACATCTGTGTTATACAAAGGAAGCACATCCTGTTTATAACTATTTCTACCTGTCATTTATCTTGACCTTTTTAATTTTTTTCTGTATATTAGCAGTAAACAATTAGAAACTGACATTTTATTATGTTTGGCTTGAATTTTTAAAAATTTAATTTTTGGGTGACATTGGTTAATAAAATTATATAGGTTTCAGGTGTATAATTCTACAATATATCATCTGTATTTTGTATTGCGTGTTGTGTTCACCACAGTCAAGTCTCCTTCCATCACCATTTATCGCCCTTTTAGCTTTATTTATCTTCCCCCTTTCTCTCTGGTAATCACCATACTGTTGCCTGTGTCTGTGAGGTTTGTTTTTGCCTTAATCCCTTCACCTTTTTCACCCAACCTCATCCCCCGTAATGCCCTTTTACTCTGACAACTGTCAGTCTGTTCTTTGTATCTATGAGTCTGTTTCTATTTTGTTTGTCAGTTTATTTTGTTCATTAGATTCCACATAAATGAAATTACATGGTAATTGTCCTCTTTAAATTTAAGCATAAAAATATTTCAAAGAGAATACTTGAAGAAAAGGAAAGTTGAACTGTATTGTTCTTACAATATTTTATAGCACCTTAACTATGGAGTTTATTATAAGGAGGTGTTTATCTCAGGAAGAATTTCAAGTAAAATTATTGATAAAAATATTGAATTACTTTTATTTATTATTTTAATATATTTTTATTGATTTCTGAGAGGGAAAAGGAGAGAGGGATAGAAACATCAATGATGAGAAAGAATCATTTATCAGCAGCCTTCTGCATGCCCCCCACTGGGGATCAAGCCTGCAACCCAGGCATGTGCTCTGACCAGAAATTGAACCGTGACCTCCTGGTTCATAGATTGATGCTCAACCACTGAGCCATGCCAGGCAGGCAAAATATTGAATTTTAAAATGTAATTCTTGTTATTGTGCATTGGTAGTTTTAAAAACTTAATATTTTAGCTAACTTCTGATTTTCTTGTAGGTCTGTATGAGATGCTTTGTGGGTACATAAAATATAAAAGGATCATGGCTCCTTGAAGAAGGTGAATAAGTTAAAATTATGTAGGAATGCACATAATAATTTTATATATAACCATGAAAATTGAAATATTTGTGTTATATTTTGAGAACAAATGCTTGAGAACACATATTTGAGGACAGAGTACCAAGTCTCTTGAGATTATTGTCTTTTTTATGGAGAAGATTTTCTCAATTGTGGTTCAAGGATAATCTGTAGCAGAATCACACTGGCTGCTTTTGGGCCCTGTTGAGTCAGAATCTCTGTGACTTGGGCCTGGGGCTGTAGGGAGACCCTAGAGATCAGGAAAGGACAACAACACTCTCACCCTCAAGTTGTGAACAATAAAGCGCAAGGAGGTTAAATTAATTGTTCAAGGCCATACTGCCAGTTGAAGTAAGATCTAGAATTTTGTTTATTGATGCTAAGACCAACATTCTTTTCCAGTAAATCAACTATTAATTTTTATCTTCAAAAGGTAAAATTTAAAGAAATAAAAGTTTATAAATGTTATCAGATATCCCATCTAATAATTCTTTACTCTTATCACTAATAAACTAAATCTTTGTTTCTTTCTCTAGAATTTAGAAATACCTTTCCTTCAGACTCATGAATCTTTGAATTATAATAAAAACCTTCAAGAAATAAAGAGGAACATGTTACATTTCATGAATTGTTGACGAAATCTTTGAAATTTTGTGGTTGATTATTTTGGAAGTGAGTGTTTTAAAGTTATTTGAACCATGTTCAAGTAACAGTTTGCATTCAATAATGACTCCACAAAGACCATAAAACTATAATTCATGACATACATTCTTGAAGTATTTCTTAGCCATTAGTTAAAACAGAGTTCTAAAATAGTCTAAGTGTGATGTCATTCAAAACTGATTCAAAAATTTGTTTCACACATCTTAATGAAGGTATTAATAATTTTGTATATTTTTATGTATATAGTTTAGCTTTCTAAAAGGAAAAGACTCTGTAAATGCTATTTATTAAGTTTTCTGTACTTAATTGATAACATTTTGACACTCATTTACGATAGAAAAAGGGCACCACCAGAGAGATGGCGTGCTGATAAACTCACCTAGCATTAATACATTTATAATAAATATGGCCCTAAAGATTTTCAGGTCTAGTCCTTCATTTTACTAATGAGAAATATAAGACCAGAAAATAGTTATGTTATTTTTGAAGAAGATAGCATTGTGACAGAAACAAGTACCCAAACCTCTTTTCTTCCTTTTCCAGAACTGTCTACAGCTGAGCATATAGCCATCTGAGTCAGGATTGCATTTTCCAGTCTCCCAAGTAGCTAGATATGACCACCTGACTAAGCTTTTGTCCTAGAACATATGTGGACATTTGTGTGGTAGCTTTCAGGAAATGCCCTTAAAAGGAAGTGAGAGCTTGTCCTTTGCACCCTCTGAGTTCCCTCCATGAATCCTGTTTGGAATGCAGTTGTTTTGGCTGAACATCTATTTTGCCCGATGAGGATAAGGACCAGCCTCGCCCAGATGACCATGGAGCTGCCATTCCAACTTTGGACTGACAATATCTCCACTCACACATGGAAAAGAAAGAAGCTTCTTCTGTTTAAGTCACTGTCTTGGGGTTTCTGATATTTGCACTTGTCACAGAGTTAGGAAAAGTGGTTTTGCAACCACTTTTGTCTGTTTAGTCAGTCCTTCCTGAGAGAGCAAGAATGACTATCTAAAAAGTCAATAAACCCTTTCTTGCTATAGAATTTCATTTATTCATTCTTTGAGCACATAGATATTGAGCACTTTCTATGTGCAAGGAACTTCACTAAGTAGATATGACACAAAGATAATTTTATTGTTGAGTTTGAATTTCTAAAATGTTTTAGAAAAGTTTTAGAACCAGATCCTCCTTTTCCTTGGTCCATCCTTGTCCCTATCCCGCGCATATCATATAATTTTTATTTTTTCCCTATGAAGGACTGATTTTCTGGACTTTAATTTTAGATCGATGCTGTCATGTGACTAACATATATTTCAAAAGTAAAAAAAAAAAAAGCCCAAGAAACTCAAGCACATATGACATTAAGTTTTAACCTTCACCCCCAAACATATGACAAGTCATGATTAAAATCATGATGCAAATGCAGCCTTTGAATTATGTAAGATATAAATATTTGTCCTTGAACAAAATCAAAATATCAATGGACATATCTTTAAAATATTTAAATAAGATGTATTTTCTAAGTTAACACTTAGAAATACACTAAGGACCATACCATTTTCAGGGTTAGTTACATATAAAAAGGAATATTAGAATTCTGGGTACATATATGAGTTGAGAGTCTCCCTTCCCTACATGACTCATCTCCACATAGAGTAAAAAGTGACTGGCCATCTGCAAGATCAGATCAAACAAGCATTGCTCACTGACTCCCTGATCTCATTCTGTGTAAGCATGGAGAAGTATCCCCATATATGTGGTCTATTTAAACCCCCTCCCCAAATTCTTTATTGATTTCTGATAATTTGTTGTTTTGGAGTGCTTTTTTTTAAAGAATAGTAAATGCTCTAAGTTTCAACATATTTTTTTCAACTCTAGATTTAAACGTAAAGGTTGTCAAATATATAATAAAATTTTGAATAATGATAGAAATATAATCAAATTTGGAGGTAAATATAAAAGCAGACTTACTTTTGGGTCCACGTTGAGAATTTTTCTGTCTCTTTTGTATTTGAAAAGCAAGCCTTCTGGATTATCAGCAATCACTTGATAATTGGGAGTTGAATTCCAAACAGCAATTTGACTGTCCCAGTTGTAAAAGCTATAAAAATAAATATTTATTAGGAATTTGTATGTATAGTATATAAAATTGACAAATATATTTCAGAAAATATTTGGGGAAGTTCAGTTGCAAGATAAGTGGATCAAATCATAATTTGTATTACCATGTAGATTACATGTACTTAAAATTCTTGCAGAAGAGTTTAGACTGGGTTATTCTCAAGCCATCTACATATTTCTCAAATCAGATACATATTTATGGATATTTTGCATGATTTCCTGCTTTGGACACTCTAGCATCTAGGGTCTATTCCAGTACAGTATTATATTCCCAGGAAGTCAAGAAGAAAATTGATGCAATTTAAAGCTATTTTTCCTGCTCAGACTCTTCAGGGTATTAAGAATATTCAGGTTATTAAGAGGCTGTTTACAAAAAGGAAAGGCAGGCTAAGTTTATCATCTCTTTTCATTCAAAACAAATGAATTCATTTCTTTCAGGGTCTATTTTTCAGGGTCTAAATAATATATTTCCTGGGGAGTGAGGAAACAATTTGCATCTGATAGGTTCCCATACACCAGGCATGAGGTAATGTATTTGATCACAACCCATGTGAAGTTGTTCTCATTTTGCAGACAAGGCAAACAGACTAGGGGGGGGTTAACTAGCATAGTCAAGGCCTTGAAACTAATATGCCATAAACTAATATTTCAACTAAGATCTGTGTTTTTTTTCAAACATATGTGTTCTTTCTCTTGTTCAACATTGCCAGCAGTTTATCCTTTTGTTGTTGTTGTTGTTGATCTATGAAAACTCCTATTTTTTTCATGTCTTATTTTATACCTACCTGTCAAAAATGAATATAATGTTGTCATATCAGTTGGGAGAAGAATACTCAATATGCTTATTTTACATGTCTTATTCCTGTTAACACATTTCTAATATTATACTAATAGGATCAAATATGAATGCATTTCTGGTATGTCTAATATTATCTTATTTCCGTGCTGTTTTGCCTTCTATTACTCTCTTTATTTATTTTGAAAGAGTAGATCTTATTGATTAAATTTGCTCTGAATTATATTGTTTTCTGAGGCATCGACTTTTGTGCTATTACCTGAAAATGTAATGTTTACCCTCAACTTTTTCCATACTCAGAAAGAACCTTGGAGAGTGTATTAGTGATAACTCCCTCTCATTCCCCACTACTCTTTCTATGTTCAAGACATAGGGATGTCTGCCCTTCCTAAGTCACAGAATTAGGTAAAATGGTTTTGTAATGATCTTTTCTGTTTAGTTAGTCCTTCTTGAGAGAGCAAGAATGACTATTAAAAAAGAAAAGATGGTGGTGAATTGAGGAAAGGAGATGAGCATTCATGGTTTGTGGGGTTTTCACTTTAGCTAGTCTTCATAAGTGGGATTTGTCATGGCAGGCTTAGCCTCCAATAAGGTGATGGTAGCTAGCAGCTTATATATAGTACTAGAGGCCCAGTGCACAAAAATTTGTGCACTCGGGGGGAAGGGAGGGTCCCTCAGCCTGGCCTGTGCCCTCTCACAGTCTGGGAACCCTCGGGAGATAACGCCCTGCTGGTTTAGGCCTGCTCCCGGGTGGCAGAGGGCAGGCCCAATCCCTAGGTGCAGCCCCTGGTCGGGCTCAGAGCAGGGCCAATTGGGGAGTTGGGGCACCACCCCCAGCCATGCACAGAGCAGGGCGGAACGGAAGGTTGCAATGCCACCCCCAGTCATGCTCAGGGTAGGGCTGATTGGGGGGTTGGGGCACCACCCCCTGTCACACTCAAGGCAGGGTCGATGGGGAGGTTGCGGTGCCACCGCGTCACGCACAGAGCAGGGCCAATCTGGGGGTTGGGGTGCTGCCCCCTGTCATGCACAGAGCAGGGCCCATCAGGGGGGTTGGGGCTCCTTACCCTGTCACCCACAGAGAAGGGTCGATCAGGGGGTGGAGGAGCTCCCCCCTGTCACTCAGAGAGGAGGGCCGATAGGAGAGTTGGGGCACCGCCCCCTGTCACACACAGAGCAGGGCGGATCAGAGGTTGTGGGGCTCCCCCGTATCAGGCACAGAGCAGGGCTGATCAGGAGGTTGGGCGCCTTCCCCTGTCACAAACAGAGCAGGGCGGAAAGGGAGGTTGTGCCCCCCCACCCCCCCGTCACACACAGAGCCGCAGGGCAATCAGGGGGTTTAGGCGCTGCCCCCTGTCACGCTGATCCTGGTGCCGGGAGGCCCCTTGGCTCCGCTGATTCTGGTGCTGGGAGGCATATTACCCTTTTACTATATAGGATAGAGGCCTGGTGCATGGGTGGTGCTGGCTGGTTTGCCCTGAAGGGTGTCCTGGATCAGGGTGGGGGTCCCCACTGGGGTGCCTGGCCAGCCTGGGTGAGGGGCTGAGGGCTGTTTGCACCTGGTCACACACCCTTCAGGGTGGGGGTCCTCACTGGGGTGCCTGGCCAGTCTGGGTGAGGGGCTGAGAGCTGTTTTCAGGCTGGCAGGCGACAGAAGGGCCCAACGCTCCTTTTTTTCTTTTTTCTTTTTATTCTGGGCCAGCTTTAGCTCTGAGATTCCAGCTCTTAGGCCTCCGCTGCTGAAAGTAGGTATCTGGTTTGTTTCGGTTCTATGATCGAAACAATGTATAACTCCATCTCTGACTCTAGCTCTGAGATCCCAGCTCTGAGATCTGAAAGCAGGTTTCTGGGGTTTTTTTTTTAGCTTCTATATTTGTTAAAATGTTTCAAATTGCAGGCTGAGAGGCCTGCAAGGCAGACGGGGAACGTTGGTTTCCTCCAGCACTGAAGCAAGCAAGCCTCATGTTAGTTTTAAGCTGCCTGGCTGCCAGCCGCCATCTCGGCTGGCAGTTAATTTGCATATGTCCCTGATTAGCCAATGGGAAGGGTAGCGGTTATATGCCAATTACCATGTTTCTCTTTTATTAGATAGGATTGATATAAATGAATTTCACTGGTGAAGGTATTAGGAGCCAGTTTGACTATGCACCCAAGCTAGATTCTTGAATTCAAGTTAATACATAACAGAAAATCATTTGACCTTCATCTTACTGACTGTTCAGTTAGGAGTTTGCTAAATTGGAATAGGAAACATGGGTGTGATTCTAAATCTTTCATATAATTCTCTCTAAATAATTATTTATGAGATGTATAGATATAGGTAATCCCAGTAAAATGCTTGAGTCACAGCTATGCTTGGAAGTAACATGGCTTATATCATACATTCCTATCTTGTTTCTCAGATCTAAAATTAAAAGCCTTGTTAAAGTCCAAGTAGCCTGTGTGTGTGTGTGTGTGTGTGTGTGTGTGTGTGTGTGTGACTATATAAAAAGCTAATTTGCAGGGCTCTTTAATTTTTATTTTATTGTGATAAGAACACAACAGCAGATTGATCCTTTCACAAAATTTTTAAGTGTACAGTACATTACTGTTGATTGTAGGTACAATGTTGTACACTAGAGCTCTATAACTTATTCATCATGCTGAACTCAAACTTTATGGCCATTAATTAAACCCCTAATTTCCCCTCTCTCCAGCAGTAGGTAACTGCTGTTCCTCTCTTTGATTCTATGAATTTGACTATTTTAGCTACCTCATGTAAGTGAAATTATACAGTATTTGTTTTTTGGTGATTGACTTATTTCACTTTGCACAGTATCCTCAAGGTTCATCCATGTTGTCCCATATTGCAGAATTTCCTTCTTTTTAGGGCTGAATAAATATTCCATTGGATTTATAAGCCATATTTTCTTTCTCCATTCATCTGTCAATGGACATTTAGGTAATTTTCATATTTTGTCTATTGTGAATAATATCTTTTAGATCACATATAGTTGAGTGTTTTGTGTGTGTTTTTATTCATCTCACCACTCTATTTTTTTTAATCAAGGAGTTTAATCCATTTACACAAAGTAATTATTGATAGAAAAGGCTTATACTCTTGGCTTTTTATTATTTTCCATTAGTCTTGAAATTCTTTTGTCTGTCTTTTTCTCTTTTACTATCTTCATTTTTGTTTGTTGATTCTTTTATTGATATGGTTTGAATGATTTCTTATTATTTTGTGTATATCTGCTTAAAGTATTTTTTTGGTGGTTACCTTGGGGTTTACATAAAATATCTTCTAGTTTTAACAGTAAATTTTAAGCTAATAATAACTTAAGTACAATCACACATGCAAACTTTACACTTTAAATTCTCCCCACATATAGTTTATGTTATTGTTGTCACAGTTTACATATATTCATATTATGTATATTTTAATATATTTTAGTTATAGTTATTTTTAAACTTTTGCCCTTTAACATAATAGAATTAAAAGTGATTTAACCACTATCATTATAGTAATACAATACTCTGTATTTGTTTACTGGTATATATTTACCTTTATCAGTGAGTTTTATACTTTTTTATGCTGCCATATTTCTGTTTAGCACCCTTTCATTTCAACTTAAAGAACTCCTGTTAGCATTTCTTGTAAGGTAGGTCTAGTAATGATGAACTCTCAGAGATTTTCTGTTTTGGGAAAGTCTTTATCTCTTCTTCATTGTTGAAGGGCAATTTTGCTGAGTATAGCATCTTGGTTGGCAACTTGTTTTCTTTCAGCATATTATTCCACTCCCTTCTGGCCTACAGGTTTCTTCTAAAAATTTGCTTATTTTCATGTTAGTGTGTCCTGTAGATATAATGTCACTTTTCTCCTTCTTTCAAAATTGTCTATTTGTCCTTGATTTTGTCAATGTGATTATAATGGGTCTTTATGTAGATTTCTTTTGAATTTATTTAAATGGTATTTCTTTAACTTCTTAGATCTGAATACCCATTTCCTTTTTCAGATTTGGGAACTTTTCAGCCATTATTTTTTTCTTTGAGTAAGTATTCTTGTCCTTTGTCTCTCCCTTTGTCTGGGAATCCCATAATGTGTATATTGGTCCCTTAAGGATGTCCTTTAAATTTTCTTCACTCTTTTTCATTCTGTCTTCTTTTTGCTCCTTTGACGTATTCCCAATGACAAGTCTTTGAGT